ACTGGTTTCAGCCATTTTCAAACTGGTTTATGTGCACTGAATATTTGTTCTGTTACAGGTTTAAACCAGTTTCTAATTACTTAAACCAGCTTATGTGTAATGTCTGTCCCTAGCCTTGGTCTGCTATCCTAAATATTTCTAGCTACAGATAAATTGTTTGAGACAAACAAATGATTACTCAGTGCATCTCCTTGGAGATGCACTAGTACTAACTTAGTTGGGTATGCCATTTTTTGGGGGTGATTTAAGCCCTCTATATGTCTGTACGATTGGTAATTTTAAATTGACCAAACTCTTTGGTTAGGTCGATCTAAATGTAATACCTGCATGTGCCCATAATAACAGTAGTTCGCTGAAATGTTTGCAATCTGCATGGATCCTAAACTATCATGCATCCTTGCTTTTTGGAGTCTCAGGTTTCTTGAGCTTTGAATTGCAAAGGAAAAAGGAAATCATGGAAGGGTAAGGACTGTTCCACACTTCATAATGTAACAACTGAGCATGAGGATTCACAGAACATGTACATCGGGGCGGGCAATTATTTTGGGTGGAGGGCCACTTACTGAGTTTTGGCAAGCCATGGAGGGCCACATGGTAGGCAGCCAGGGGCAGATAGCTATTAATATTCTAAATTTTTTAGGGGCCCTGCGGGCCGGATAGAATGGACTGGTGGGCCGCATTCAGCCTGCAGGCCACATTTTGCCCACCCCTGATGTACATAGATGGCCTTGATGAATGCTCACTTTCACAAACAAACAGACAAACAGAATGTGCATGAAGAACATGTGCATCCACATTTTGGTGTGGGATAATTACATTTGACCCTAAAAATTAAAAATGATTATCTTGAGCTCATAGCTATTCATACCATGGTGGAGTAGTGCAAGCCAGGTGGAATACACTAGTTATTTAAGTTAGCTACATTGTTCTTTTGTAGCAGTGGAGAAGCATAAAACAGCCTCTGAACCCTGCAGTTTCCCATCTGCCCTCTTACACTTTTCTGCATACCCCCACCAAATTCAACTCATGACTTTCCTTTTGAATAGAGTAGATTATCAGATTCTCTCTCTATATCTCACTTTCTCTTTCAATAATATATATATATATATACACATCAGTTTGAAAGGTATCTTTTTTACTGTGATCTTTATAATTGACACTTATTTTTTTTCAGTTGAGGATAGCTCAAAATTTCCTTTGAAAATCAAAAAGTTACCCTGTTAAGCCCAGTGAAGCCTTTCACTTTAAATGTTTGAGAGCATCTGGTGGCTTCAGAACAATGAGGGCAAATATCTCTCATTATTCCTAATGGCTTTTAGGTTATAATGTCTTCAGGAAGATATTAGAACCCTGTCAGAAGTTAAAGAGCCCTGTTTAAGAACAGGCACCTTTACTCATGGTGTCTTATTCTAAAGAGAAGCTAGGAGAGAGTGCCATTTTGAAAGTGGCCAGTTATTTTGGTTTCTCTTGGAGAGCATTATTTTCCAGTCTCTGGTAAAGAAAAAAACTTTTCATTTATGGCGCTAGCTCTGATTTGCTGCCTCGCTGATTTGTGGATGTAATTGTGTTTAGATCATTCATTACAAAAGAACTGACACAGTGCTAGCTTTCTTGTAGCACACACTTCTTAAAAATATTACTCAAAATAAAGGATTTGTTAATTCTTAAAATTCATTTAGAATCCAGAGGAAGTGCCATTTTTTTAGGGGAAGGTAGCATACAGGACAAGGGTTGAACCCCTCTTAGAAGTGCCATGTTCAACTCAGCCTTAACTGTAGGCACACGGTCTATTTCCATTCTGCTTCATTATCTTCCCCCAAGACTGATTGCATCTTGGCAAATTTGAGTTTTATCATCTGTGGCAATGGCGAATGTGTGCTGCAGCATCTGTCTCGTCTGTAAAATACTATCATAATTGTAACAAGGTTTAATTTACAGATCTTTGCAAACAGCTTGGAGAGAAGGTACTGCACAATGTACCTCTTGTTTGTGAAATACCATTTTCTATAATGATATCCTATGTATTTTTTCTGAGCTTCTGGTTTCTTGCATGATCATCAATTGGCATATTTTTATATCAGGGTGTGACAAGGACACTGTTGTAAAAATGTTATCAGTTAGTATTTGGATTCTGCTGTTAAATTAAACTTATTTTGATTACTTTGCCCACAGTCTAGCTAAATTAAAATCCTGTAAAGATGCTTTTGTTTTAAAGCTGGAATGAAACAAATGACTCCAGGAATGGTAAAAGTTTTCAATGAAGGGTTAATCCTGAATAACTCTATCTTAAAGACTTGCTATAACACTCACACTTGTGAGCTGCCCTTGCTAATTCAAGTCATTCAATTGATTTTTGATCTGTAATTATGGGTTTGCAAGATTAAACCCAAATTGTTCAGTTGCTTTCTTTAAAAGGGAAAGAGACCTTTATTTCTATTATCATTTAAGCGCAAGTCTACCGTAACTTTCACGCACTTCTCATTATTTCTAAGTTACTGCTTCTTGACTTCACAACTAATTACCACTTTTTAATGGGTTTTTTGTTTTTAATATTTGTCTACTTCAATTTTTGGGTGCATTTTACTTTCTCTGATTCATTGAGTTACGTTAACTAATGCCCCTTCCCCGCCCTAACTTACTTGGATCATGTCCCCAGCACTGATGAGCGTGTGCACAAGTGAGGCCCTGATCATGATTATGCAACTTAAAGTAAGCCACACATTGTAGATTGGGTCCCAGGAATGTATGCATCTACCCTAGTAGACTATCCTATCTTCTGCCTGACCCTTTTTAAGTGAAATTATCATGTTTATAGAATTGAAGCCATAAAGTGTGTATTGAGGATCCATAGTTAAATTGCAAAACATTGGGGAAGCTTTTCAGAATTTTAAGTTATCTTGTTGTCACTCCTACCTTTCAGTAGGAGACTGAAAAATCTTACTGTATTTAATTAGCCCAAGAGAAAAAGAAGTATCACGTCTTAAAACAAAACTCTAATTCTAAGGTGTTAGAATTTTTTATTTGGTGTGATCCCTGCTCAGTGATGGGCTGCTTTGAAAGTAGTCTTGCAGCTTTGAGTATACCTCGTCTGGCCTGACTTGTGCATGTTTGTGTAGAAATTTATTTAAGAAGTTATTTGGGCTTTGTACTAGAATGACATAACTACCTGCTCCAGGGCTCTTTCTCTTTAAAAGCCAAGTGTTATCTTACCTGTGTGTGTGTTCTTAATGTAAAGATAAGTATGTATTTGTTTTGACTATCAGTTATAGCTGGCAGTGGATTGCCTGCAACCATACTACTGAAGATTTTGAACTTGTCACCACAAACTAAGCAGGATTGACCCTTGCCAGTCAGTTGAATGTGAAACCTCATTTAAAAACAGATTTCTTCCCGTTTCCAACTGCAGTTTTTCTTCTGTAAAATCACTTCTTAATTTCTGCTTATGTGTTGGTTTACTTCCTCTCCCATGTAAAATATTCTTATTTACTTTATTTCCATAGTCTTATTTTTAAAGCAACCCAAAGGAAATTATATGCAAAACTATTGAGTACTAAGTTTAAGTCTTTAAGTTAGTTTTTAATTTACTGACTTTCATGTAATTAAGTTTCCACAGCAACCTTTTGTTTATTTGTCTTTTGTACATATGCATTATATGGATCTTTAATTATATTATCACATAACTGGTGTTCAGTGATGCATGTGTGATATATATGCATTCTTGGAAAACCTTGATGGGCACAGAATGCTTTTATGTACTGCCCCATATTGTAAGGTGAATATAGAAGGATGGAGAAATGGTACTTTTTTTGCTGGGGTTTCTTGGTTTGTTTACACAAGGTACAGTTCCCATTTAGTGAATAATCCAAACTGACTAAATTAAAAATAGTCTTTCATAAAATGAATTGAGTGATATGTACTGTTGGGGAGACCAGAAAATGTAATTAGCCTATGGTAAACTTACTGTGGACCATGTGTCTGCTAGTGGACTATTACTGCCTACCCTTTCTATGCTTTATAAGCAGCTTGTTATAGTACAGAGATACCTGCTCAAAGCATTTGCATGTCATTGCTTCTGTGTTTTATTTGTAACCTATTTTTTCTGTTTTACTCTCAAAAGGCGTCTAAACAGAAATAATCTTCAACTGCTTTCTGAATTACTCTTTCTGGGAACGCCGAAGTTATACAGACTGTAAGTAAGCACAACCCAGTATTAATAATCTTGGAAACCTGGCACATACTATTAATTTTTAAAAATGGGTATATTCTCTGTTGTTGTTTTTTTCTTGGAGCGCACACTTATTTTTATCCTGTCAAGAACGATCTAAGTAGTTCTTATCCATTTCAGTTCAGCATTTTCTTTGGTTTATTTTCTTGCTTGGATACAAAAAGTCTGTCATGAGTCATGCAAGTCCCCCTCTCCCCCCCCAATCTTCCATTTCAAGAAGTGTGAATGAGCCTTTGGAAGAGTGTTTTCTCCCTTGTTTTGTCTTTAAATTAAAAACAATAAGCCAAAAAGTGATGGGTTTGCAGCTGTTGGTCCAGTGATATTGCAAAAACATTTCTGTTTGTTTTGTGATATTCTGTTTTTTATGCCTGTGGACCACTAAGGCAATTTCTTAACAATATAAATATGAAGTGGACTTTAGATAAATCATCTAATGAAAAATGCCTACTTTCTACTAATTTATTTTATTAAAATATATATCAAGAAGACAGTTTCAAATGATAGGATGTGGAACATGATGCACTTAAAGCGTGGCAAGACGGTACAAATTTATACTCAAGTATAATCAAAGATGCATCCTTGACACTTTATTATAGATTTCAGGTGAGATTTGATTCTTGCAGATTAAATTGGGGAAAAAGAAACTGGCAAATGGTTCTGTACTCTATGTATTGGATAGTCAGTTTCTTTATTGATCTTGTATGTTAGGAAGCTGAGAGAAAATAGTTGATCTAGCACCATTGCAGTAGTTAGATGTGTACATGGAGGTGAATTTTTATAAAGTAAGTTTCACTTTGGGGACTTGACTTGTTTCTAAATTTCTTAAATGCACAGCATCTTTACTTGTGTTTTCTTTTTAATATTAAGTGGGGAAAATTAAAATGTCTGTATTTATAGCAAGAAACATTTAATGCAAGAAAGTTGCTGTTAGCTGTTTGTGTGCGTGTGTGTGCATGTACGCACTAGCAAAAGCTTCCGTTGTAGGTGAAACATCATGAGATTACTAGACAGCAGTACTCAAAGGGGTTCTGTCCTAACAAATTCTTCATCTGAAAAAATTGGCTTAGAGTACGTTTCTCCCATAATATTAAAAAATATGGAATTTCAAACTTGTGATTAATAATGTGCATATATTGTAAAATTAAGTATTAACAAGTATGAAAATATTACAGAGAATTAACATTAGAATTGAAATTGGTCACTTTCACGTAAGAGTGAAGTGATATGGGGATGATAGTTCTGAGTTATTCTATCACTGGCATGCTGCTTGTTAAATCTTAATTCATGCATCATAAAAATGAGATATAGCTCGCAGAATAAAATAAGTACACATTTAAAGTCAACTTTTTACATTTTATTTTGAGATGCACTTGTGGAATTATAAATGTATTAAATTTCTTCTGCCCAATGGTTATTGTTGATCAGTTCATGAAAGTGAGTGTGTGGTTATAACATGTTTAAAAAAAATGGGTATATGTAGGTATATATGTATGTGTATATGTATAGACATGTTTCAAAAATATATCTTAGCTATACTTAAAAACCAGCATAATTAAGCTTTTGATTTAAAATTTCTCTTGCTATTCTGATGCATCAGTCCTGAACAAAACAATTTAATACATATTGGCTTTATGTGGTCAGGGTTCAGATTTTATGTAGCTTGATTACTGCCAGATCTGAGGTACATGGCTATTTATTTATATATTAGCAATTCTGGACTTGCTTACATGTATATCCAGAACAATAATCTCTTTGGAAAGGGATCGTCAAATTGTCTAAACATGATGATGGAATTATGTTTACTGTTTTACTTAGCCAATTAAACTTTAACTGCTAATAATACAGCATGTATGCTGCAAATTCTTCAATATGCTATTCAGCTTCTGTGAATAATAATTACCATTTGACCCTTGGCTGTAAATGAGATGCCAGGTGAAGAAGCACATATGCTTGTTGTGTAGCCTAAATGCAATATAAAAGAAAGAGGGTACACTGTATGTGAATTATGATTAGACACGGTTGGTTGCCGCCAGCGGCCGTCTATGCTTTCCCTTTGCTGTCTGCTCCAATTTCTCTTTGGACGGGTTGAGAGAGCACTACATGTTCAGGTCAAGATGTTTGCTCAGAAATAGTAGTACAGTTGCAGCTGTGTTTGTTGGAGCAGGAGACTAGTTTAAATAGCATTACCACTTATCCAGTCCATTAACAGAACTCTGTAAAATAATACCAACTCTGCATAAACTACAGGACAGTGTAATAAAATTACAAACACTTGTTGACAGATGGGAAGTGCAAGTAAAGGAAAGCAGTAAGTTGTGAGTTTAAAAGAGACAGTACATAATTTTCTATGTCAGAATATCCTCTGTGCTTTGAAAATCCTAGTTCATATTTTTCAGATTTGCCATGGTGGAGGTAAGGTGTGTGGTATTTTTGTGTGTGTTTCTCTCTCCCCCCCCCCCCCCCCCCCCCACACAAAAATTTTCAA